TGGTGGGCATGTTGTGAGCGGAGCCGGTTGGAGCTGGGAGTCAGACTAGATGTCCCGGAGACCCCTTCTGACTCGCTCTGTTTCTATGTTTCTATGATCCATGTTTATAAAGTTTTACAGTGCAATAGGAATTCACATGTCCTGCCTAACCAATAGACTGTCATCTCAAATCATATCTTATACAGCAAAAAATCTTGCTTCATGTCCATCAGACACCACAGGACCTCTTCAACGAGGCTTTATCTAAATTGGCTAACTGTTCAAGGTATCTATGAGCATGGATGCCTTCTTTAATCATGTTTTGAGAAGATCCAATAGTTGCCTCTTTTTGGGAGGAGATTATAATATGGATGAACTTTCTATTTTTATGCCCTTTAATATTTAATAGTGCACAGTGATTTTTAAAACATTTGGTGGTATATAAATACTACATATAAATAAAATAAAATACCTTCTTAGAAGTTAACACGTGGTCAGCATATATAGATTTTCTATGCCATATTGACAGTTAAAATGCAGTATTAGAACATTAGGAGGAAATACACTCACCTCCTCTAATGCATGCCAAGTTAAGTTTTCAACATTTGATTGGATGGTTGGTTTGCCTGTGAAGCCTATATTAAAATTTACATGGTTATATTTTTATTTCCCATTTCTTCTCTCTTGATGGTTTCTGTTTTGTTGAACTGCCCAATAAAAAGTAATAAATAAAAAAGCACCATGTAAGCCTCTTGGGGAAAGGCATTCCACAGCTGGCATGCCACCAATGAAAGGGCTGTCTCCCTAGTAGCCATCCATGTCACTTCATGGGAGCTGAGCATTACGAGAAGGACCTTCAAAGGACTTTTATGGACACTCTGGAACATTGCTTGCTTGAAAACTAAGGTTAGGTTTTAAAAGATTATGAACTTTTGCTATGCAGTAGCTTTATTTTATTTTAAGGTACCACTGTCTCCACAAAACTAGTACATCTCATAGGAATTACTGTTGAAATAAAGAGTGATTTCAAAAGCAGTTATCTCTTCAAAGAGCTGGGGGAAGCAATCCTCACAATAGTTATTTATAAATGTCTTTTGGGACATTTTAAAGAAGATGTTTAGTATGCTAGAAAGAATCAGAGTAAAGAATTGGAATACGTTATACTTCCTAACCAGTGAAATGTATACATGCTACTTCTGTAGATTCAATACAAAGGCTGACTACAAAAATGCTGGCTAGCTATGGTGAATGAGGCATATGATATTTGTTTGTTTGTTTGTTTATCGATTTATATCCTGCCTTTTTCCTACAAAGGGCTCAAGGCAGCTTACATCATTCTCCTCCTCCATCTTATATCCCCACAGCAACAACCCTGTGAGGTAGGTTGGGCTGAGAGTCTGTGACTGGCCCAAAGTCACCCAGTTGGCTCCATGGCCGAGTGGGGACTAGAACCCGGATCATCTGAGTCCCAGTCCCATGCTCTTAACCACTACACCGCACTGGCTCTCTCTCACTGGATATGAGCATACTGACTTGTCATTTTCATCTGGTTTAAAATTAACAATGCCCACATAAATCTGTGATCATTGTGAATGCTCGTGTGCTTTTAAAATTTATTTCTGAAATGTGTGGATTAAAAATACGGACAGAAGTGTGAGAGCTCTGAAGTTGCGAAGAAACTTAATACTATTCCAAGCCAGGAAGGATAAACACCCACCACCTATTTATTCAATGGATAGAAGCACTTAACACTCTGGCTGTATCTGAATGCATGTTTGAGTCATTAGTTTCATTTGGATGTTGATTTAGAAATATAGTGTGCTTATATTAACACATACATTTGAAGTGAAAATGTCACAATGTTTTCAGTTTTTGGTTTATTTCTTTTAAAAAAACAATATTGTGGACACTGCATGAAGGAACAAGTCTTTCTAACAGCCACCATTGTAAGCTGATTTCAACTCCCCATGGTTGTCAGTCTTGGTTGCACAAGCAGGGCTTGTACCTTGAAGGGCAATGGGAAGAAATTCCAGCTTTGGCTGGGACAATGTGTCGGGGGTTGCCCACTGCAAGGGCTTAGTGGGCAGCCCCTCCCTGTTGGACGTTGAATGCCTTCCACTTCAGGACAGGAGTCCTGTTTGGGCTGCAGGGACAAAGAAGATTGTTCTTCTTTGTCCAGAAGTGCAAATGGACTCAAGTCCTAAACAGCAGCTGGGAAAATGATGGAGTTAATTGGGCATCCCTTCCTCCTAGAAGCAGGAGGTAGGGGTGTCTGATCTACTTTGTGGCATTGCTGCCTCAACACCCCCATAGAAGCACAGAATAGTGGAATTGGAAGAGGCCAGGGGGCCATCAGGCCCAACTCCCGGTTCAGTGCAGCCTCCAACTTAAACCATCCCTCTCAGCTGGCTGTCCAGTTGCCTTTTGAATGCCTCTTTTGTGGGAAGACCTACAACCTCTGTAGGTAGTTGCTTCCATTGTTGTACTGCTCTGACAGTGAGGAAATTTTCCCTGACATCTGGCTTCCTATAACTTGAGCCCCTTGCTCTGTGTCCTGCACTCTGAGATCCTGTCCTTCCTCTTTGTGATAGCATTTCATGTACTTGTAGAGACTTAGGACCCTGGATATCTGAAGGAGTGTCTCCTTCCCTATGTGTCTTCCCACCCCTTGAGATCTGGTGTGGAGGTCGTCCTTTGGGAGCCCCCCCCAAAGGAGATGAGGAGGGTAGCTACCTGGAGAAAGGCCTTCTTGGCAGTGGTGCCCCAGAGAGGCTCGCCTGGAACTGACTTTGTATTCTTTTTGGCGCCAGGCTAAAACCAGGCCACCCATTATTTTAAAAATTGATTAGGTTTTTAATGTATGATTTTACTATTGGTTGCCATGCTTTATTTTTATCCTGTTTTTATTGTAAGACTGTCCCAAAACAGTAGTAGTCAGATGATATGTGAAAATCTTAAATAAATAGAGTGCTATCATATCTTCCCTCAGTCTTCTGTTCTCAAGGCTAAATATGCCTGGTTCTTTTAATCTTTTCTCATAGGGCTTTGTTTCCCATCCTTGGAGCATCCTTGTTGCCCTTCTCTGAACCCTTTCCAGCTTATCTGCATCTTTCTTAAACTGTGGTACCCAGAACTAGGCACTCCTCCAGACGAGGCCTAACTAGTGCCTAAAGGGGAACTAGTACTTAATGGGATTTGGGATTTCATGCAGCCTAAAATAGCATAATAGCATTTGCTCTTTTTGCAGCCATATCCTATTGTTGACTCATATACAGCATGTGATCTACAGCAATTCCAAGATCCTTCCCACTTGCAGTATTCTTAAGTCATCTTGTAATTATGCATTTGGTTTCTTTTTCCTAGCTACAGAACTTGGCATTTGCCCTGACTGAATTTCATTCTGTTTTCAGCCTGGTGCTCCAACCTATCAAGATCACCTTGAGTCTTCTTTCTGTTATCCTATGCATTAGCTATCTTACCCAATTTTGTGTCATCTGCAAATTTAATAATTCTATGCACTTCCTCACCCAAATCATTAATAAAAATGTTGAAGAACACTGGCCCCAAGACTGAACCCTTTTGGCTTCTAGTAATCACTGCATTGTTTCCAAGGTGTTTGCAGACTGTTTCATAGTTTGCTCCAGAATTTTTCCAGACTTTACTGTCAGACTGACTGGTTAGTAGTTCCCAAATTCTTCTTTCCCTTTCTTGAAGATAGGGACAACATTGGCCCTTTTTTGGTCATCTGGCACTTCTCCATCCTCCATGATTTCTCAGAGGTAATAATGGTTCTAAGAGTTCTTCAGCCACCTCCTTTTTGTCTCTAGGATTTGAACTCATTCAACCCAGTTTGGATGAGGATGGGGCAGGGCATCTGAGCAGATCACTGAGCAGATCCTGCCCAAGAAGTCTATTCTCAGACTGGAGGTGGGGATGCCCAGTCCATTCCATGTCACTGATCCAAGCATTAGGCAACACCATGCAGCTGATCACCAGCTCCCCCTTCCCACACATCCTTGTGAACAGCTCAAGAGTAGACCTTTCCAACCACTACCAAGGATGTCCATGCCTCCTTGCTGAGGGGGCCGTGCCTCCTTACAGGTAGGAGCAGATCCCAGGCATCCTTGCTGTTGCCTGGAGAGATCTGTTCTCAAACAGCGGGTATGGATAGCCACTCCACACCAGGGGAAAGCTTCTTACCATAGCCCCAAGTGCTGCTTGGAAGGTTTGGAGGCAGTTGTCAGCAGTGCTCACATGGCAGCTCATCAAGAGTGGTGTGGAATTTCTGTTGCTCTCACCCAGCATCTCTCTCACTGTTGGGACTCACCCCTTAGGGGCAATCACTTCTTGGTTTAGATGACACAACAGCCCTCCAGAGGTGGCAACAACCCTAGAACAGTCCATGGCTATCCCAGGAGGCTTGAAGTGGCTCCTGTGCACAGGACACTACAATCCACCTGATTATTGTGTTGCCCAAACCAGCTCTATGGTTTGTTGATATCCCCTATCTTCTTCTGTTACAATTGCAAATAAAGAAAAAGAAACAGGGAGCATAAACCATCCATATGACTCCAAGCAGTGCTTCAGATCTTGGGCTTGGTGCCTATCCTTGTCAACAAGCAGGATCATCAAAGTGGGCATAAATGTTTTCTCCATAAAACAGAAGTAAATATGTCTGCCTGTTATAGTCATAAATCTTTATCATTAAAAAACATCATGTTCTGTCACAGCTATAATGGTTGATAGCAAGTCAGATAATTACGTCCCAATCACTGTGTAATAAGGCCACTTATTACCTTTTGCAGTTGCAAATGATTCTGTGGTTGTAGCTGGTGTCATAATTGAAGTACTGGCTGTTTCTGGCCTTAACACAGGAAAGTATTCACGGGACAGCAGGAAATATTCCATTGTGCAGGTGAACCAGTTGTGAGTACGGATCACTCTGACTTCATCAGACACTTATAGTAACAATATAGTCAACTGTATGGCATTAATCCATGTATTTTCCTTTTCTTTGCAAGGTAACTGGTGGCTCCAGTGGCATTGGGAAAAGCATTGCTATCGAATGTTTTAAACAAGGTGCTTTCATAACGATAATTGCAAGGAATGAGGTAAATTTTCTGCATGTTTAATAACTGTGGTGACCTTAAGAATTTAATGAGAGCTTTTAAAATAAAAATTATGACTAAAGCCCTGCTGTTTAATTAGTTAAACTCCTTGATTTCTATAAGACTAAAATTAGCTGTGAATAAGACCCCTTGAGGAGAGACAGCTCCTAACTTCAATTTTAATTATATGGTTCCAGTTTGCTAAGATAATTTAAGATAAAATATAATAAATATTATTATAATATTAAAATAATTAGATGATTAAAATAATAGGTGGTTTCTGGTGGTTATAGTTCACTTGATTTGTAACAACTTGCTTTTGGATTTAAGGTGCCTCACCCACTTTCAGAAAAAGGGCAACTTGAAAAAACATGTATCCTAAAATCATTCTTCCGCTTACCAGTGTCCTTGGACTTTTAATTGAGGGAGAAGGCAATGCTCCAACTTCTTGCATCCTTCTTATAGCATAAGATCTGAGTTGGGAATTGACTTGTCTGCCTTATAGAGGGAAGCATGAGCTGCCTTCACCTGAAGTATGTGTGGGTGGGTGTTGGCACAGGGAAGGTATGTATTTACCTCTTTAGGATATTACACATCCATTTTGCATTTTGAACATGAAACACTTTTCTGCTTCATATATTCAAAGCTACACTTGGTCAATTCTGTGAAGTCTTCTAATGTTTATCTAAAATTAATTTTGTTTGCCAAATTTACAAAATGTTACAGTTGCACTGTTCTCTTGAGCAGTGATAAGACACAATTTCAAGTCGTAACATGTGGCTGAACAGAGTTATGTTAGACCTGGTAGGGTAGCTGTGAGCCAGCTGTCCTCAAGTGGACACTATCCAGATACATTGAAGCTACTACTTCCTCCATTCCTGACCATTGGCCATATTGGCTAAAACTGATGTGAGTGGTACTCCAAAGGATCTAGAGGACATTAGCTTGGGGAAGTCTGCTGTAGACTGGGACAAAGGTTCTCAGGTTAAAGGCTCCATATACCAACTTTCTGCATCCAAGGAACTGGTACATATTGCCCCTGAAAAATTTGACTAATAACAGGTTTCAAGTTGTTGTCTTGTAATGCAGCATTTTATCTTTGGAAGTGGTTGAGTAACAATTAGAGCTATAATCCTGTGCACATTGACTGGAAATAATTACCAGAGAACACAGTAGTACCTCCAAGTAGATAAATATAAGGTACACTGTTTATGTAGTACAGACAAAACTAAAACAGAATTCTGAAAATAAAGCACAATGGCTATTCCAGTTGAAGCAGCATTCTTATATCTTTGTGAACTTCTAAGGATAAGGCCATCCATGGCTACTAATTATGATAGCATGCCACTGTCTGCAATATCACAGGCAGTATGCTTCTCAGTACCAGTTGCTGGGAACATGAGCAGTGAAGTGCTATCCACGCACAGGATACCTCTCTGGCTGGCTGCTCTGGGAACAGGAAACTGAACTAAATAGAATCATGGTCTGATCTATTCTTATGTCTCTAAATTGATGACCTAAAGGATTTTTCTTTAAGTGTTTATAAAGCACCTGAAAACTAGGCACTAAATGATCTATAACTTGGCTTATTAAATAAGTAATGTTCAGAAGTACTTTAATTTTAACTCATCTGAATTATTTTAATAGAATATTTCAGATTATGTTTGTTTAATTCCAGAACCGTCTGATGGAAACAAAAAAAGAAATTGAGAAATTCTCTGTTAATGATAAGCAGGTAAGATTGCTATCCTCGAGTACTAGCAGAGGTGGTTCATTTCCAAGGGAATCCATATTGCTTTTTACCAATAATTTAATGTTCAGACAGAGCAGCAATACATGAATTGTAGTGTATGTGGATAAGAGTACAATGTAATGCCTTCTTATAAGAAGTTATACAGTGCATTCTATACAGACTTGCCTGGTGGTCCTTTTTCAGGCATTCAAGGAGCCAATTACACCTTGATCTGCAAAGTGTAATAAGGCCATTATGACCGAAGTGTATAGTACTGAGCAGATAGAAATCCATCATATCCATGCCAGCTTGGATGCCATAGTTGTACAGGTCTAGTGAATATAATTGTGACCACTGTTTATCCAGTTAGAAATGATATTTTTCCATTTTCAGTAGCCCAAAAATGTGGACAGGACACTTGGAGAAGTTAGGTCTGCCACTTGCGCGGTGGGCCTTTCCTCCCTGACTTTTAAAAGCAGCTGGGAAGGGGGAGACTGGCTGAGTAGGTAAGGGTAGTGGAGAATCTCTCTTTGTGCAAGGTCTGAGTCTATCTTTCCTAAAAGGAGTATCAGCAATTGTGTTCTGTTAAAAAAAAAATCCCTAGATCCCACTTCATAGATTAATTTCCGGCTGATCTCCAGATTCTTGGGTAAGGTGCTGGGGCATATATTGGTTTCCCAGGTGCAGCAATTTTTGAATGACAGATCTAGATGCATTTCAGTGCTCTTTTCTGGGACAGAAGCTGCTTTGGTCACCATGTCAGGCAACCTGTAACAGGTATTAAGTGGGGGAATGTATCTCTGTTGATCCTCTGCGGCTTTTGATATCTTTGACCACGGCAAGCTTCTGAGCCATTCCTCTGAGATAGAACAGAGAACCACTCTTTTTCTTGGAGGGGTGAATTCAGAATGTGGTGCTGGGATGTTCCTGTTCAGTGCTGCCATGGCCATTAATGTCTCCCAGGGTTCCTCTGTATCCCTCATGCTATTTAACATATATGAAAGTGTTGGGAGAGATGGCATGGCTTTGGGGAGTTTGGTGTCACCGGTATGCTCATGTCTTCCAGCTCATCTTTCCATCTGTATCCAAGGAAGTTGCTCTAGTGTCTCTCTGATATCTGTAATGGACTTGAAATTGACATCTAATCCTGACAAACCAGAGTGTTCCTTGTTAATGAAAAGGCAGAGAAGAAACAGGGATTCAGCCTGTACTGGATGCAATTACGCTCCCCCTGAACACTGTACATTTGAACTTAGCCCTGAATCTGGATGCCCAGATCTTGGCAGTGGCCATGAAGGTGTTTGTACAACTAAGACTAGTGTGGCTAAGGTACCCATCCCTAGAAGGGGCTGATCTGGCCACAGTCACACATGTCTTGGCCTGTGTAACATGCTCTGCATGGGGCTGCTTTTGAAAGCTGGTTCAGAATGCTGTGGCTGGATTTTTCATGGAGGCTGCTTACGGGGAATAAGTGTTACCTGTGTTGCAACACTTTCATATGTAGCACTTAAATTTATTAAGACACCATTTAAAGCATGAGAATAGAATAAAAATAGCAGCTGTCCCAACAAAGCCCACTTGCATACCAAAAGACTGTTTGTATTTAAAAAAAAAAAACTTCAGTTCTCAGTAACACTAAAGTAAGATAGTCTTTCAGTTCCAAAGTATTTGTATATAAGTGACTCTATAGTTACCCTTTATTTTATACTTGGAAGAAGAGAGGATCTTTAAATGCATGTTGGGCCATGATGCCTCTTAATTGGTTTAGCAAAAAATATTATCTAAACTTATTTGATTAACAGTAAGTCAAAAATGAATGCAATGATATTACTCATAATTTTTCTCATCTGATATAGGTTGTACAGTCCATTTCTGTGGATGTTTCCAAGGATGGTACAAATGTGGCAAGGGTTCTAAAACAGGTAAGGGAATTACTGGCTTTTATGCACCTTTTCCTGTATGTCAGATTCTGTACCACAGGAGTATTCTGGTGAAAGTAATTGATGCCTGTAACCAGTTGGCACCAATTCTTTATTCCACTTACTAAATGATCCTTTTCAGGCTCAAGAGAAGTTGGGTCCAGTTGACATGCTCATAAATTGTGCTGGAACATCAGTTAATGCAAAATTTGAAGATCTTGACATCAGTAAGTTTGAGGTAAGATCATTTTTCTCTCTGGATATATTTTTAACTAGTTGCCAGCTGCAACTGACAGTTAACCTGAATGAAAAAATGATATATTTTCAATACCAAACTAGATCAAATGTTTTCATTTGTGACAACATAGTTTGTATTGTTTATTACCAATATGATGATCTAATGTTGTCCATCTAAGAAGAAATCACAACTCAGCATTTTTCAGGCCTGAGTGTTTTTTCCCACATCATAGATGCACTAATCTTTGTTGGATATTTGCCTTGCACAAAATGGTTTTGTTTTCTTAAGAGCATGTTGTGAAAGTCAAAAGCTTTCCATGACCTAAAGGAGAGCAAGAGCCCAGTGATCTGCGGGCAATTAGCAAAATTGACCAAGTGTTATTGTCTTGCAGTTTCCATTCATTCAGTAATACTTGTGTGGGAACACCTAATAATCTTTACTGAAATAAAAGAAGGCTGTGCCACAACATGTGTGCATACTTACTTGTATGTCAAGAGCACTTAATCATCAATTCTCCAGCTTGGCAACTCTCTTAAAGTGCTTTATTATCTAAAATCAAGCTTTGTAATTACAGTCCTCAGTAAAGAAAATGATGGAGCTGCTGTAAGAAGGTTGGCCAACTTTGCAGTTGAGATTAAAGGAAGACTAAGTCTTAATATGGGGAAACCAATTTCTTTTGATTGTTAGTAATTGAATTTGGGGTGGGGGAGCTATTCCAATCTACAGTGGGACACAGATGGAAAAGTCTGGCATCATGATGACATGTAGATAAGATAGGGCTCAGTTGACCATTCTTTCTGGTTTTCTGTATTCTCCCTGCAAGTCATGGTGCCTTGGTTAGTATTCTTTGAGAGAATGTATATTTGTATGTCACTTGTTGTTCAGGGAAGAATGTACTGGTGCTATTTTTAGATGTTGGAGCATTGTAGCTATGGTTTTCTAGTAGCTATTCAACTCTGATGAGAACAGGGTACAGATGGTTAGCAATTGCTAGTGTTAACTTTTCTTTACTGTTTGTAACACAGGAGCCTACCATATATTCAATCAGACCATTATATCATATAATAGTGTCTTTTAGAGTGATTGATGATGGTTCTCCAGGATCTTTATCTACTTTGTCTGGAGTTGTTGAAGATTGGACCTGGAGTGCCTGCATTTAAAACTCTAGCCCTTTTGTGATTTGAGGTGCATTTCCTTAGCTGTTCCATAGGGGTTCAAGCCAGTTTCTACAGCACAAAGGACCGAACTGCATGTAGCCCAGGAAGCAACTCGGCTGGATGAAATGCCACATGTAGTTTTTTGCCCCACTTCACTGATTGTTATCTGGTTGGCATCAGTAATATGGAGTGGGGAAAAATTCCAGTGCTTAATTTTTCTGTGTAAAATGTTCCATTTCATAAGTTTGTTAGTAACACCGAATAGATACCAAATTGCAAGTAAGATATTAGGTAAGCTTGGAGGTTTCTAAGTAGCAATTAATGTTTTTAAGGTGTTTTTTTTACCAGCAAGTCGCTATGAGAATATATGGGCCATTGAAGTACATATGCAAAATGGAAGCAATACGTAGTAATCGTGAAAACTGAAGGTGCCCCAGTAACCTCAGTAGAAGAAAGCACAATCCTGCTAGAATATATAAATGTTATCAACATAGCATGCCCATTTCTTTGAACTGCTAAAATTAATGCAGTCTTCTCTAGCCTGGTACTATTCTCGGCATCCCCAGTTAGCCATGCTCAATGGCAGATGCTAACAGTAACTGTGTTCCCCCACCTCTATTACATTTAAGAATGTGAGGGGACAACTTACTATTCTTTTTACATTTTCACAAGTATCCCCTTAAAAATGATATATAATATAGCATTTAAATCACATTAAGCATGCTTTAATTTGCTGCCTCAGATGTTATAGGTGAAATACTTGTCTTATGTTGAGATAAAAATGAATGAAATACTAATTTTGTTCACTAAATAAGCATGCTAAATCAGCCTTCTCTAAAGCAGGGTTGGGCAATTAATTTTCCTATGGGGCCACATGAGAAACTTTGACAGTTGTTAAGGGCCGGACCAATACACTTACAGCTCTGCTCAATATATATATTTGCATCGACTTTTAATTTGCCAGTGACCTCCTGCGGGTCAGTCAGGGTCAGCCATTGGGCCGGATGTGGCCCATGGGCCGTACAATGCCCAGGTCTGCTCTAAGGCATTAGCAAATTTTCTGATGCAAACTGAAAGCATGTGGATGTAAGTAATCCTGTGCAAATTGACTTTATTTGTATAAGAGATGTGCAGTTTAAAGATTTCCAGAAAACTCACATCACCATAAATACATTATACTATATTCTTACAAATTCAGTTTGTCAGTCTCCAGTTTTTTTTATGATAGGAGCATTGGATTGTGCATTATACACGTTAGTGATATGAATATCACTGAAGCTTTGAATGTGCAGTTGTCTGCTGGTACCATAACCATCCAAGTGTACTTGGGGACTAGAGACATTATGAGCACTTTATTATGAAAGCTGTCTACTTTGTCTCTTACTTGCATGTTTTTTCAAAAGCAACTGATGGCTATCAACTACTTGGGGAGCATTTACCCAACTCGTGCAGTAGTTACCACCATGAAGGAACGAAGAATGGGAAGGATCGTATTTGTGTCATCCCAGGCTGGGCAGGTTGGAGTATTTGGCTACACAGCTTATTCTGCAACAAAGTTTGCACTTCGAGGACTAGCTGAAGCTTTGCAGATGGAGGTATGATCACCTATTCCTCACCCGTGTGCTTTCTTACTGCTTTAGGAAATGGTTTTAATTTTTTTTTTGTTTTCCTTGTGATGCCATATCTACTCTGTACAATTAGTCCAATTAAAGACAAAGGAGTAGGACTATCACTTCCTGAAATGATTGATCTCTGCAAGTTAATTTTTTTAAAAGTGGTTGTAAAAAGGGGAGGGCTCCTTCAGCTTGGATGTGCAGAACAAAGCCAGTTTTGTGCTGCTACTTTTCAGCTGTCAGGGTAGAAATTATTAAATGTGGTAACTCATGGAAATTATAACAGTGAATAGAAGATGGTTTACCATGTTAGGTTGAGCACCGCAGACTTCAAGCTTGCAGAACCTCCTCTCTTTCCCCTTTTATCAGAACCTGGTTGTAGACAAATGCAAAGTGATGGCTGAGATGCAAAATAGTGGTTCTGGAGTAGAACTGATGGCCTACTGTGCCTCACAAACCATACAACAGGATTGCATGCATTTATGTTTACAAGTTTATATCTAAGTTACTGTGTGTTTGAATTCTGATAGCTTAATTTAGAGAGAGAAGCTTTTGAGTTGTTAACAACTGTGAGCACCTAGTCAGAAGCCTTTACCTGCTACAAACCATTTAGCAATCTACTAATAATTCCAATCTTATCTTCTCCCTATTATGTTGCATATCAATGTTTTAATACTAATGACTGGCTGCAGTTCTGTTCATGTCTATATTGCCCAAAAGCTGAAGCTTTCTGGGCAGGTAATAAACCTTAATAAGCATAGCTAGGTATGATAGTAACAATTGATACAATAAAAATACAGGTACAATGAAATGTATATAATTCAAATATACAAAATGTAAAACAGTTTCAACAATTAAAACAGTCTTAATAAAAACTGGACTTGTTAAAAGAACTGACATATCCCAACATATGCTATTAAATGCTTGAGAATAGAGGGCAGTCTTAACCTGGTGCCAAAAAGTTGAGAGCATTGGCACCAGGTAGGCCTCAGTGGGGAAATCATTGCATAATTGGGCAGCCACCACTGAGAAGGTTCTCCTCCTCGTTGCCTCCTTCCAGGCCTCCCTTGGAGATGGTTTTAGGATGGTTTTAATTGTACACACTGGTTCATTACTACTTATGGCAGAGATGGCATCTAAATACTGCCAAAATGTTCTTTATGAGAAGACTCTGGCTCAGGTTTGCTGTAGTGTTTGAGTACCCGCTTTTATTGCCCCAGCACGAATGAATTAATCTTGGATAAAATAGCAGTGTTAACGTCTGATTGGTTCTGTGAATATAAAACCTTTTAAATACACATAGTTCAGTTTAGTTAGAAATTGTAATTGGGTTGTCAAGAATGATCACAAAGAACTACAAAAACCACCAGGAGCAAACTCCCTGAAAACTGTTACAGGATCAATTGGGAAGCTCAAGAACCATCTAGATTAGGAGTTCTCAACTTTTCTTAAAGGCCCCCTTCTGAACCTCATTCACCTCTGTGACCCTCTTCATAGCTGCTCTTACCTGGAAAAGGGTACTTTACCACTGGCACTGTTTATTAATATAAATGATATCATATTGTTTTCTAATTAATATGAATGTTCATTTATTACAGACCACTTTTTTCATTAAGATATTTGTCACAGACTAATAATTTTCAAGATTTATGCTACTGAAATTAACACAAAGAATGAAATGGGAGAAATATGACAAATTATTCCTACACCTGGCAGTTAAGTTTGGGTGGCCCCTCAGCAAGTTATTGCAGTCCCATAGAAATATGGCATTTACCCCTGAGGGCCCATATGGCCCATGCCGAGAACCACTGATCTGGAGAAGTGCTCTAGAAGCTTTTTGGTGGGCCCTAATCTGGAAAATAAATACAGTTGTGTAGGACAGTCTCCTCAGTTGATCTCCAGTTTTGGCAAGGCTCATGCGAGTTAAAAGATTCCTCAAGATCAGAAGTTCCTCAAGTTTAATCGCTAGAATTGTGTCCCCCCATTCAAATTCACATTGGGTGTAAAATACAGTATTAAACATGGCTTTGAACTACAAGGTTGTTTGCTAAATATGGGAATTCCCTTTGTTTTCAGCATCACATAAGCCTCCAGAGTCTGGCCACTTAATATCTGAATTGCAGTTCCCGCTGCAGAGGAGTTGTGGGCTGAAGTGCAGGAGCTGCTGCCTTTCACAGTAGCCCCAGTTTCTGGACCAGCTGTAAGGATAGTCCAGCACAAAACATATTATAGAATCCTGTCCTGAAGTTATGAAGCCTGTACCCCTTTTCAGGAGAAGGTGTTCCTGGCGAAAGAGTCCAGGTTGGCTCATGACATGATAATAGACTGTGACCATTCTCAATGCAGATCTTGTCAAGATGTCAGTGTCAAGTTATGATTGAGAGTCAAATGGCTTTTTAAGGTTCTGTTTTAGGACATGGGAGAATAAAATAGTGATAAAACAATCCCCCATGCCACCTGAAAGGGAACAGAACACGTCATTGCTACTTCAGATTACAGGCAGCATTTTGCCCAGATTGCCAGGTGTGGGGCTAGCTGTTTGTTACAAGAAGTACCATATTCCACAGGGAGTGGCACTCCTTGTTGCTTTAAAGGTGCATGTGGTTTACGGCTTCAGAACTATTCCATCTGGCAGTGACATTAGAATCTAGCAATGTTAAATTTTAAAGCTAGTATGCATATCAGGGGGAACATTACATTCTGAGCTGATGTGTATCTGAACATTTTTCATGCCAGCTGGTCAGCTTATATGCTTCTTTATGCATGTCACATCATGCATTTTTGTTCATGTTCAGTAAGCATAGGAAAGCTCAATATACTCCAATGTGAAATAAATACGTTTTCTCCAACAAAACAGGTAAAGCCCTACAATATCTACATAACAGTTGCGTATCCTCCAGATACAGACACCCCTGGCTATGCAGAAGAAAATAAGCATAAGGTAATGGGTTCATTCCTATCAGTCAGATATTTTGTACAGACACCCAGGTTCTCCTAAGTGTCTTTTCCTGTCCCTGACTTCTCTGATGAAAAGACATGTTGGAATACTTGGAATATAAGCTCAAGTGATCCTGTTGCTCATTTAACGTTTCTGCAGTAATAGAAGTTGCAAAATGATTTCTACTTTAATCCTTAAATAGGAAGTCTTTGAATTGCTTTTAATCAGCTGTACCTTGGAGGCTTGGGAGTTTGCCTGCTTGAATTAATGGCAGGATAGCCATATCCTGGTGAAAGACACTTGCTTTCAGCTCTCTTGTTTCACTTCCTCATGATTAGAGATTGATTTGTTAAATTGGAATGAAGGATGCATTTATTTGCAGTTTACAAAAATATGGTTACATTATAAAAACATTACTGTCTATTTACAATTGTGATTCCAAATCAGTTTTCCTTATATGCAGATAAATGCTTAGATCACCTCTTAGCCTGCTCTCCAGCTCTGTTGCCTGAGACTCATTTTGCATCTTCTCCCATTTCTTGGAATATGCAGACACATGTAGGATTTGGTCCAAGTTCTTTATCCTGTCAGCAAACAAATACACAGTGGAGTGAAACATCAGCAGTCTCTCCCCCTCACTGCATGCCCTCCACTCTCCTCAGAGGTGTATATGTGCATATACCCATATGCATATACATAACTTCCATCTCTGAATTTGAAATAGCACTGCGAACAAGTCAGAATTCTGTGCAGATCTTGCAGTGTGTTCAGCTAGAAGAGATGGTGCCTGATAGCATGAATCCTGGCGCATGGCTGTTTTACCTGTCATCTTCTGAAGGCTCATGGTTGCAGTCTCATCCATGCCATTTGCCTGTTTGCCACAATGGTTTATTGTAGTGGTTTCTATTATGCCTGCTGAGACCTTAACACAGGTACCTCTTGGAATTTGCATGTTAGGGTATAGGGAGGGGAAGGTTCAAGACACAACGTGTCTCGTAATGTGCTTCAAAGTGAGAATGCAAATAACCTGGACTCAGCCGCAAGGAGAGTGCGTGGGAAGTCTCATGCAGGCCTGGCATACACCTTAACTGCTTGGGTACATGTAGGAATTGGGACAGGATTAAGGCCATGGAGATACTCTGCATGTACTTGCCGTTATGACGTTGGATGCCTCATGTTTGTCTGCACACAAGTTTGCCTACTGTGTGTACTTTGTCTGGTTATAACAAAAGATACAAGATGTGTTTACAATTCCATGCACATTTTGGGGGGTTTTATTACATGCAGTGCTTGAATACCAGCAATTGCTTGTAAGCTTAAAAACCCAGGCAGTCAGAGGGGTACCTGCTGGACCGGGGGAAGAAAAATGCCAATCAATATTGATGTAGTTCATGGTAGGGTTTGGGTGGAACTGAGAAGTGTTTCACTAATTTAATTTCATTCTTGGTACATTATTGTATGCCAGAATACAAACATTTGATCCCAATTATAAGTGCTTAAACCACAGTTCTGATGAGCTTCTGTTAAAGTACAGATTTTGCTCTGCAAAATGGTTCAGACGATGGGTAAATTTTGAACATCTCTGGCAGTCGTAAAATAATCAGCAAACATTCAGCTAAACATTGTGTCTTCACTCAAAAACAGCATTTGTTTCATTTTTGAATAATTGTTGTGAACTGCCTGATGTGAGCTTTGGTGATCAGGCAGTATTAAACATCAAACATGGAATGAATTAATGAATGAATAAGTTTTGCATTTGTGTCTGCTTGTGTTCAAGGTTTTAGAGACCAAGCTTATTTCAGAAGCATCATCAATCTGCCAACCTGATTATGTTGCTAGAATCATTGTAAAAGATGCAATTGTAAGTAACACATTGTATAAAATGCTTTTCTGGATAGAAAGTAATCATGGTTGCTTACAAAGTTTGGTGTAAAGCAGGTTGTGTTATTTTAACAAATAGATTGCATGTGCCTTTTCTTCCTTAATATGAGAATGTATTTCTTTAATACCAAAGAGCCTTAGTTCATATATATATATATATATATATATATATATATATATATATATATAGCACTATCAGTATACACTGTGTCTTAAGTAGCCAAAAATATGGCCCTGTCCTGAAAGAGCTTCCAAACCTGCAACAGACTCTAAAGAAACTGAGGAAAAGTGAGCCAATACAGTTAAATCACTTTTACTTACTTCCAGTTTTCCCTAAACTTTAGTCCTGCTGGTTACTGGGAGGAGGAGGCCCGTCGCAGAAGGAATCTTCGCAAGGCTAAGGCTGATTACGAGCTGAGACTTGCCAGGAATATCAAGAGCAACAAAAAGGGCTTCTATCAGCATGTAAATTGCAAGAGGAAGGGGAGACAAGTAGTGGGACCGCTAAATAAGGAGGAAGGAGATCCAGTGACTGATATGAGGGAACAGGCACAGATGCTAAATGACTATTTTGCCTCTCTTCTCCCCAAAGCAGGATGGGGAAGATCCGCATGGGAGATTAGATGAGGCCAAGGACTTAGGGGCACAGATTAGAGTCACCCCCTATAAGTCGAGGGGCTCCTCAGGGCACTGGATGTTACAAAGGTGCCAGGCCCTGACAGGTTACACCCGAGAGTACTTCGAGAGTTGGCAGGGGTTGTCTCACACTCACTGGCCTCCATTTTTGAAGCCTCGTTGAGAACAGGTGAAGTTCCAGAGGACTGGAGGGTAGTGTCAGTGGTCCCAATTTTCAGAAAGGGTAGTAGAAGGGACATGGGGAACTACAGACCAGTTAGCCTTACGTCCATTGTAGGAAAAGCAATGGAAAGGCTCATAATAGAGAGAGATCTAGTGATGCTAGATAGGGAAGGGAGGCTGGCAGTCACACAACACATTTTCCACAAAAACAGGTCCTGCCAGACAAACCTTGTGGAATTCTATGAAAGGGTTTCGAGGTGGCTAGATGGAGGGGATGCAGTGGATGTGGTGTACCTGGATTTCAGCAAGGTCTTTGACAAAGTGCCCCATGATATCCTGGTGGAGAAACTGAGGAGTTTTGGGATACACCAAAGTACTGTCCGGTGGATTAGGGCATGGTTGACTGACTAAAAGCCATTAGTAACCATTAGTGGGTAATCATCTGGATGGCAGCCAGTGACAAGCGGGGTTCCCCAGGGCTCTGTCCTGGGGCTGATCCTGTTTAATCCTTTCATCAACGACATGGAAGAAGGGGTGACCAGTCTGCTGATCAAATTTGCAGGCGATACTAAAACTGGGCCAGTGGCCACAACTGAGGAGCAGGTACTTCAGATCCAAAAGGATCTGGACAGACTATGGAAGTGGACAGGCGACAACAGGATGGCATTCAATGTGGATAAGTGCAAGATATTGCACTTGGGGCATAGGAATGGGTGTCATCAGTACAGGTTAGGGGACAAGTGGCTGGAGAGCATCACCTGTGAAAGGGATCTCAGGGTACTGGTTGACTGCAGGCTAAACATGAGTCAGCAGTGTGATGTGGAGGTCAACAGGGTGAACCCCACCCTTGGTTGCATAGCCTGAAGCATGGCTTCTAGATCAAGAGAGGTATTACTACCACTCTATATGACTCTGGTGTGCCTGCAACTGGAGCATTGTGTTCAGTTCTGGACCCCTTGTTACAGGAAGGATATAGCCAGGTTAGAGACAGTGCAGTGTAGGGCCACAAGGTTGGTGGCCAGTTTGCAGGGAAAGCCGTATGAGGCGAGACTGTGGGAACTGTGTCTTTTCAACCTAGAGAAGAGGAGACTCAGAGGGGATCTGTTGGCAACATACAGGTATGTGAGATGTAACACAGAGGTGGGCAGAGACCTGTTTTCCCCTGCAGAGGGTAGCAAGGCTCGGGGAACCAAGGTTGTTTAGATGCTAGGAAGTACTTCCTGACAGTTAGGACCCCAAGGGTGTAGAATGGGCTTGCACAAGAGGTCATTGAGGCCCCGTTGGTGAGGGTGTTCAAGGGTAAGCTAGAAATGCACATGGTGGGCATGTTGTGAGCAGAGCCGGCTGGAGGCAGGGGTCAAACTAGATGGCCCCGGAGGCTGTTTCTGACTTGCTCTATGTTTCTATGTTTCTCCTTGTTGCGACCAATTGACTCTCCCCTGGAGGTGGCAGTCAGAGAGAGGCTCCCAATTAGTGTCTGGGTAGATTGCAGTTGGGAGAGGCATTCCATGATGTATTGTGGTTCTAATACATGTAGGACTTTCCTGGTTAAAACCAGCACCTTGACTTGGGCTCAGAAGTAAATAGGCAGCCAGTGCAAGCAGGGTGGCATTGATATTAACATGTTCAGACCCTCTGGTCCCTGATACTGATCTGAGTGCCACATTTGCATGAGCTACAGCTTCTGAACAGTTTTCAGGCATTGCAAGAAAGGGATATTTGTCACTAGCCTAAAATTACTAAGATCTTTTTATTTCAGAAAGCGCTTCTTCAGGAATAACCTCACCACTGTTTGTTTCAGATAGCATGATCAAGTCATTGATCACCTCCCTGGCTCTGTCCCCGCCCTGATAGGTTTTTCTAAGCCAAGCAGGACTCTTTTATTGTTAGTCACGAAGTCATGTCCGACCCATCACAACCCCATGGACAACATTCCTTCAGGCCTTCTGGTCCTCCACCAACCCCTGGAGTTCACTTAAGCTCACACCAGCTGCTTCAGTGACTCCATCCAGCCACCTCATCCTCTGCCATCCCCTTCTTCTTTTGCATCTATTGTTCCCAGCATTAGGCTCTTCTCCAGGGAGTCCTTCCTTCTCATTAGGTGGCCAAAGTATTTAGTTTCATCTTCAGTATCTGGCCTTCTAAGGAGCAGTCAGGATTGATCTCCTCTAGGACTGACATATCTGCATATATGAGGTTGTTGATATTTCTCCCAGCAATCTTAATTACAACTGGTGATTTATCTAGCCCTGCCTTTCTCATGATGTGTTCTGCATATAAGTTAAATAGGCAAGGCGACAGTATACAGCCTTGCCGAACTCCTTTCTCAATTTTGAACCAATCAGTGGTTCCGTGTCCTGTTCTCACTGTTGCTTCTTGACCCACCTATAGGTTTCTCAAGAGACAAATAAGATGGTCTGGTACTCCCATCTCTTGAAGAACTTGCTACAATTTGTTGTGATCCACACAATCAAAGGCTTTAGCATAGTCAATAAAGCATAGTCAATGAAGTAGATGTTTTTCTGGAACTCCCTAGCTTTTTCCATGATCCAGCATATGTTGGCGATTTGAACTTCTGCCTCTTTGAAATCCTGCTTGTGCATCTGGTAGTTCTCGGTCCACAGGATTGGAAAAGGTCAGTTTGCATTCAGATCCCAAAGAAGGGCAATGCCAAAGAGTGTTCAAACTACCACACCATTGCACTCATTTCACAAGCTAGCAAAGTTATGCTCAAAATCCTACAAGCTAGGCTCCAGCAGTATGTGGAAAGGTGGGGCTAGATGAATCACCAGTTGGAATTAAGATTGCTGGGAGAAATATCAACAACCTCAGATATGCAGATGATACGACTCTAATGGCAGAAAGTGAAGAGGAACTAAAGAGCCTTTTGATGCAGGTGAAGGAGGAGAGTGCAAAAGTTGGCTTGAAACTCAACATTAAGAAAACTAAGATCATGGCATCCGAAATAGATGGGGAAGAAATGGAGGTAGTGACAGATTTTATTTTCTTGGGCTCCAAGATCACAGACAGGGATTGCAGCCAAGAAATTAAAAGATGCTTGCTCCTTGGGAGGAAAGCTATGGCAAATCTAGACAGCATACTAAAAAGCAGAGACATCACCCTGCCAACAAAAGTGCATATAGTCAAGGCTATGGTTTTCCCAGTTGCAATGTATGGCTGTGAAAGCTGGACCATAAGGAAGGCTGAGCGCAAAAGGATTGAGGTCTTTGAATTGTGGTGCTGAAGGGGACTCCTGTGAGTCCCTTGGACTGCAAGGTGATCAAACCGGTCAGTCCTAGAGGAGATCAACCCTGACTGCTCTTTAGAAGGCCAGATACTGAAGATGAAACTCAAATGCTTTGGCCACCTAATGAGAAGGAAGGACTCCCTGGAGAAGAGCCTAATGCCGGGAACAATAGATGGCAAAAGAAGAAGGGGGCGGCAGAGGATGAGGTGGCTAGATCGAGTCAGTGAAGCAGCTGGTGTGAGCTTAAGTGGACTCCGGGGAATGGTGGAGGACAGGAAGGCCTGAAGGAATGTTGTCCATGGGGTCGCGATGGGTCGGACATGACTTCGCAACTAACAACAACAACAAAGCTTGTAGGATTTTTAGCATAACTTTGCTAGCATGTGAAATGAGTGCAGTGGTGTGGTAGTTCAGACATTCTTGACACTGCCCTTCTTTGGGATCGGAATGTAAACTGACCTTTTCCAATCCGGTGGCCACTGTTGAGTTTTCCAAATTTGCTGGCATATTGAGTGTAGCACTTTTACTGCATCGTCTTTTAAGATTTCGAATAGCTCAGCTGGAATACTGTCACCTCCACTAGGATCTGTTATAGATGTGGTTGCACAAATCTGTTCAGGCACTTCAACATCCTTGAGCTGTACTAATTGGAAGTCATCCAAATAAGCATGATTAGTCTGTGCTCTGGATACCTTGCCTCATAAGTCCTGGTAGAAGCCGGAGTTTTTTTCCTGGAAAGTTCCTCCCAGATATTTTGCAATGGGCCTCAGAAGGGTGTAAAATTGAAGACTGTATGTAATAGGCTCAAAATGTTCCTAACTGCTCTATTGGGTGGCAAAGGGAAGACAGAGTTAGTGACATACAATTTCTGTACTGTTCTCACTGCCTCCAGGTATACTAAAGCATGGCATGATTGCTTCCACTAGGAAATTTTGCCCATCTGTATGCGACCTGTCTCCTGTTTTGTTTCATCACTCTCAGGTGCACAGCATACCACTGAGCCATTTGAGCTCTACTACAGAGAGGGCATGCAGGAGTGATCATGGAAACTGCCTGGGTCATCTCTAGTTTCCAGAAATCAAAAGGCTGCCAGCAATATCAACCAGAAAACTCCAGGATCCCTGTGGAAGCCATCTAGATCCATCATCCTCTGGGGGTGGTGGGACATCTTCATAGATTCCCCATTCCTGCAGAGGGGAAAAGTTGCAGCAGACCCATTCAGACCACTATCCCCATGCCTGGCTGGAAAAAACCAATCCAGAGTGTGTCTTGTACATGTGTTGGACCAAGGACATGTTAGGGCAGTCTCATGGTTGTCATGGAGACCACAAATTCCTGAGCTGGCCAAACGGTGCTCTCAGCATGGATGTGAACATTCTTCCCAGAGTAGCAGCCCGGGGGGCCTCGGCGTTGCAGCTGAGATGGCCTCTGTCAGCTCAGGTAGGGTGACTGTTGGGTCACAGGGTGGATGGTGCATCAGTAGACTCTCCAGTCTGTCCCATTGGCCCAGCACAAGATGCAAGCACTCCAGATTAGGAGTCAGATGGACAGGGAGAGAAGGTCTGTAGAATTCCTATAGACCACAGTAATCCCGCTCCCCACTCACCAGCCCTCTAGTCTTCCTTGATGCAGTACCAGGTTTGCTGATGAGCAGAACTGGGAGAGGCTCGCTTCTCCCTATTCATCCACACAGGTCTTAGTTAGACATGCCAGATCAACTGCCTAATCTACTGTTATGTCCTAGATAAGGGGAGGCCTTGCTACATACCAGTCTGGCATCTAAAAGCAACATCCAGAGACTCAAGAACAGGCCAACAGGGGAACTGCCAAACCTGCAGTTTCAAGGAGGGCTAAAACACAGCACCATCTCCAAGTCTCTGGGCCATATTTCCCTTGCCCAGCTACCCTCCACTGAATACCATATATAGTTTGTCACTATAGTAATTAATCTCCCCCTCTAGGACCTCCCACTTGTTCCCATGCACTCCCTACACCACATTTGTACAGGGCTGTGAAGGAAGCAGAAGCCCCCACCCCTGAGACACAGAATGGGGTATGATGTTAGACGGGCTGCACTTGCATCTCCCTGAAGGGTGGCTCAGTGCGGCGGTGGCAGCAGGCTGTTTTGTGCTGGCAAATACAGGACTGCCAGGTACCCACCCCAGGTGGGTTACATTGGCGCTCAGCAGGCAGGCCTCGGAGGAGTTGCTCTCCACTTGGCCGGCCGGGAGCTGGAGCTTCTCAGCAGAGCTTCAGTCCAGCCAGAAACAATCTCGGACGCTAAAGAGAGACTAGCAAGACGGTCAGGAGGCTGGCAGGAGAGGCTGAGCCAAGTGGGGAAAGGGCTGGCAAGATGGTGAAGCCGGCATCTTCACCACCTTTGAGAAGGCCCAGGCTCCTGGCCGTTGCTGCCAGCCAGGTCTCACTGTGATTTCACCACCAGCAAAGGGAGTGAGTTGTATTTGAGGACACTGATTTTGCACTTAATTTTTATTCTGTAGGGTTGACAACCTGCAAAAACTCAGGACTTGTTTAACTACAGTTATACAAATGGGTTAACTCAATCCAAGTCCTGGCAAATTCTGCATTTTAATTGTAAGCTGCTGTGGGAGAAATTTTGGCTGAGAAATGGCATGTAAAAATGGTGTGTGTGATTCCTTGTTTGCAGAAGCACAGACTGCTTTATATGCAACAAATAGTTCATTTCACATTAGTAGAATGATAGGCATCTTTTCTACCCACAAGTTCATTTTAATTTATTCTGCTTTTTATTGATACGTAATCTCACTGATTTACAATATTAAAATCAAATTGCAATCATTACACACTCCAATCCCACGGCTCCTGGACAAGTTCCACAGGTACTTCTGTGGCATAAATATAGTAAGGTGCTTTATCAGTGTAGTTGGAAAGGATGCAGATCTGTGGAATCTGAAGCATCCCCTGCCTTAATATGTCCCAGAAGGAGGGGTGGGGGGAAAGAGCTGTGTTAGTCCTGGAGCTGGTGCAGTTGTTCCTTCACATTAGAATTAGTGGGAGGGAAAAGAAAGGAACAACTGTCAGAAACATTCCCTAGAAAAAAGAAAAGAGCCTCCATCCAGCCCTGTTAGCATGAGCCAAAGAGACACTGGAAAAGACAGCTCTTCCCTCTCCCTTTCCTCCAGGATTACACTGCCCATGTATCACTAATACATGGCTGATGCTAAGATAAGCATGAAATAACTTTTTTATTAAACAAATAAGATGCCTTCCAGAATTAAAAATTTAAAAAACAGATTAACACCTAATTCAAAAGGTTCCTAAGAAGCCTTACCTGATTTCCCCAGAGAGGGAGTTCTATAACTGTGAGACCAGCTTAAAGAAGACTTTGTGCTTGGTACCCATGAAGCAAATATCCACTAAAGATGGAGCAGAGAGCTGGCCTTGCAAAGCCATTTTAAGAGTTTGATCAAGTTCATATGGATATAAAGGTTTGGATAACCTGCTTCTAAGTTGTTTAAGTCCTTAAATTGAGGCTGGAAAAAAAGAATAGACAATTCAGTTGCTATGAGACTACTGAGATGTGCTGTAATTTACTTGCATTCACCAACATTCTGGCAGCCGCATTTTGTTCCAACTCTAATTGCAGAGCCATTAATAAAGACAGTTTCAGATCAATAGCATTGTAATCTACCCTTGAATGAAACTAGTAAATGTATAACCGAAGACAAACCCACCTTCTTAAAGCCACAAGTGGCAATCTAGCTGAGGGCATTCTAGCAGCTGATCATACAAAAAGCAAAGGTAACTGTGTTAGTGAAAGTGGAAGTTCCAAAACATAATGTCTAAAAGCCGTACCACCATAATTTCTTTATTAAGTTAACTCCAAATACAGAGCAAGCTACGGCCATTGCCTAAGAATCTGTGGATGGTGCAGGATCTAGGAATCCTCGATCATTCATGACCAGGAAGCACAGATTTGAAAATATTTTAATGGATGCTGCAAGACTTTTAGAACAGTAACTCAGTCCAGTTATTATTGATTTCATCTGCCAAAATTAAGCACTTATTAAAGTCTTACTGATTTTCATTTGGAATGAGTTAGATGTGTGCCCAAGTCATCTTGTTGAACCAAATGGGTTTTGAAAATGGTCGACTGTGAATAGACATACCGCTGATTTAAGTTCTAAGGATGATGTTACAAGGCAACAAGAACCATTGATTTAAGTTGACTTGTTTGGGTTCTTAACTGATGGTTGTTTGTATTTCATCACATCTGAGAAAAAACACTTTAACAGCGGTATTTTTCTATAGAAGAATAGTGCTGGCAATACTGACCAAGCGTGAGCAACCAATTGTCTGAGGCCAGTTTGCCTGTAAATTGTGTATGTATATGCAATGTTAAGGTGCTTCAGAAGTAGTAGTCAGCAGGATATTTCCACATCTAAGGAAAAAAAGTCTTATTTGGATGAAATATTTGGCCAGTATACTAACATTCCTTTTTTTTTTTTTCTCACCCAGCAAGGAAAATTCAGCAGTTCTATTGGTACGGATGGTCACATGTTGACAGTATTGACCAGTGGGATGTCACCAGTTTCTTCTATTGCTGAAGTCCTAGAGGCGGTAAGTAACAAAAGCCAGACCAAATGATTTGTCTGCTGGTTTTCTCCTAATGTTGCAGAACATTCAGGCTTAGTGGGTCTGTATAATTAAGAAATGGTGGCTTATACTGCAGCAGCCATGTAAAGCAAAGAGCAGTACTGAATAATTTCTTTTCCAGGAAGCAAATGCTGATAATGTTCCATGAAATATTGGCTAAAACTAGTGTGTCTGAATATAATTAACTATAGGACTAGAAGGAAGACATTTCTTTAATTCAGTATCGGTTGATTCCCTGTTATTTAATCTTGCTCGTATTCTATCAAGCCTTGAAACTCTGACCTGCGGGGGGGGGGGGGGGTAAATCTTGTATCCCACCTTTCTATCAAGATAATAACCAAAGTGGACTACAATGTATGGAATATAAAATTACTTCTTCTAAACCAGGGGTGAGCAGAAGGTAGATTCGCTGATGCTTAGGACTTCAACTCCCAAAAGCCTCTAGTCATAAATGTTGCAACTGAAGTCAAAAGCATCTGGAGATCTAATTTCAGCCCTAAAGAGCAAACTTACCTGGTGATTGCCAACAGAACTGTAACTAAGGTGAGGCCTTAGAGAAATAAGATGGACATACCAGCATGCTCAAGGTTATTCTAAGATTTGCTGAAATAAAATTATCTTAAGAAAAAGGACTTTAAGAGGTGTGAAGAACAGTCCAACGAGGATGGAACATGTTCAGTAACTGCAAAATGCTGAGTGCAAAAAGGGAAAAAATGAAGGACTGGGAGATGAGGATTGATTAATTTAAATATCCTATCTTTCTGGAGTAAAGTACCCTAGAAGAGGGCATGCTGACTGGAACTCTGAATGGGGGCATGCTATATTGCAAGCCCATGTTGCAAGCCCACTTGTATCACACCCATTATAGCAGCTAATAATTAAAAATGAATATGCATCAGTATTACAAATGTGAGCAAAACAGCAAGTAACTGAATGGATTGCCAAAGCATGTTGAATAAAATGACTTTTTCTTTCACACTTACAGGTTATTTGCATGGGTATTTTTCGTTTCGTTAGTCTTTATTTTATAGCAGGTTTTGACAGCATAGTTCGTCGTTGCATGGTACAAAGAGAAAAGTCTGAAAAGACTGACTGAAAAGTAATGGTTTTTTTTAAAAATGAGTCCTGTTTTAGAAGTGGACAGTTTGCTGCTAAATGGGACTGTCTGTGGCCTGAATATACTATATACATGGAAGAGGTGGTGATCTTCGGTGGTAAAAGAAGGAAACAAATTAACAACTCCAGGGAAAAAGACTATGCAAAAGTGCTAATGAAGAAGACTGCAGTTTGTTTGTTTGTTTTGTTATCTGTGATTTGAAGTAATAAGCATATTGTTGCCTTTAGAAATGAGCTTTTTTGAGGAGCAGAGCTTCAGAGTGGCCTATTTGCTGGTAATTCTGGATGAATGGAGCTGATGCAATGCTTGATTCGGTGATGCACTCACTTCTTAATCTAAGAGCTGTTCCAAACACCCCAATATGATTTGGTTCTCCCACACAACTGTACCAATTCAGATCTTAAACAGAAGGCCAAATTCCTCTATTATCTTGGCAATGTGGTTGCTGCCAGAGACCTGGATGTTTATGAAGAGACTGTCCTACATGGTCAGGCACCAATGCAAACTGGTTCAGATGGTTGGGACAAGTTAGTCACAGTAGCAGAACTGGCCAAAATGAAGCGTTTCAACTCCAGGATAATACATGAATTGGGTCAAAGTCTTTTTGTCCGCTTCTAATACTTAATGTAGCATGTAACTTTGATGCTAGAGTACTCTGTCAGTGATGTGATAAAATTTGCATGAGAGTACTAATCAGGTTGGAGAATCAACATTTGACTTCCCCATAAGAAGGCTCATCTGGAGATTAATTTGAGTTTCTTTTTCTGCCAACTCTTTGGGATCTAGTCTAGCACCAATATTTTGACTGATTTTTCTTGATGTTTAGGAGAGCACAGTAAACTGCATGAAGTATTCCATCTGTTTAATGTTAAATACGGAACCCAGTGGTAGAAGTTTGCCCATATTACCTTAAATTCTCTGTGCAGGAGCAGTGAAATCTGCTTTTAAGTTTTGTAGATCCTCAGGACTGATGAAGGATGCATTCTTCAATGAGGTACTAGAAGTCCTTTTTTAAGGCTAGCGGGTTCTCTGTATAAGCAAAGATATAAATCAAAGTGTCAATTTACTTATCCAATATATGCCACTTAAGTTCATGCTTATATTTGCCTGCTCAGGAAACAGCAAGAGGTGTGTTCAGCCTTGTAGGAATGGAAATGAGTAAATGAAGTGAGTACTAAGTAGCATTAAAGGTCATTCAGGAAATTGATTATTTTGTGCTCTGATGGAAGTGTAGTTTTCAGCCTGTCAATATTTTCCTAAGGTTTTAATACCAGCATGTCAGCCTTATTAACTACATGTAATCTAGGCTTATTTCTGGGCATTATATTGCTATGTATAAATTTTGTGGTTCCCAGTGGCTGAAGATGTTCAGCTGGTTCAAAGAAGAATTTCTGCTATACTTTGTCATTATTCAAGTGCCTAAGATGACTTCCTTGTGAGAGCCTTCAGGTGCATGATGAGGTGCTTTTTGAGAAGCAGAGGCCTTCCACTGCCATTTTCTTCAAAGATAAATGTGTGCATAGAGATAGTTGGGATGAGGAATTGTACTTCTTTTAATGTTCTCTGGAGAACACTTTAGTGTCCAGTTAGAGCCCAACTGCTATTAGATCAACTGCAGTATCATGTCTTCCAAATTTTAATTAATTTTTATATCCTCAAGACTGATGCAATTACAGCATCAACTTCTTGAGCCAAATACTGATTGGTTGTGTTTACTTTTTTGCACATGAGCATGAGTGTTGATTCTCCAAATGCTGGACCTGGAAACTTATATTCTATATAGAGGCCATTGAGCTGCTTGACATATGAAGGACAGAGATAATTACCGATGAAAAGGAATGAAAACATAGTAGTAGTTCCTACTGAGTTGTGCCTGGTGCACCAAAAGCACAAAAACTTGGAAGTTCTGGGTCTTATTCCAGTTAGCAGCTATGATTCAGTGTGATTTGATGCCTTCAAACAGTAGAACTTTAGAGCAGAAGAAGCAGATCTGCATATGTTCCTTAGAATGTTTAAATGGAATTGTTGCTTTTCATGTTTGCCATATTGAACTCTAATTTGTGTACATGCTTCGACTATCCTAGCAGCTGTAGAAAAACCATTCCAGTAGGTTAACAAGATGTTTCAATTTAAACCTTGGATTTTTGATTCTTTAGAGCAGATTTCCTGAACCTAGTATTCCCTGGATGTTTTTAAACTACAAGTCCCATTGGCCTGTGCAAATACAGCCAATGATCAGCAGTGCTGAGAGTTGCAGTACAAAATACCAAGATGGCTCTAGGTTAGGATAGACTGCTTAAGGGCAATTCAGAAATGCCAAATAATGAAGCAGTTCAAAGAAGGATTAACAACTTTTGCTTCTGCTCCAGGGAATGTTTCACTCTCCCGTTGAAACCCCTGAGGGTTGATTGTGCTCATCTGTTAATGAATTTTGCACTTGGTTTCTTCACAATTGAGCAAAAGTGTCCTATCATATATCCCAGCTTGCTCTTTAAACCGAAGTACTAGACATTCTAATGTTACTTAGCATTACAGCTCATGTTCTACTTAAGATTTAATAGTAAGGAAAGGAAGGGATTTGGTAATGAGCCTACACCTGTAAACTGTGAAAAACATTATGCACTTTTAATAGTAACATTGAATATGACTAAAATCCATAGCTCGCTTATGCTTACTGCTTCACAAAGTGTTGTGCCAGAATTATACATTTTAATATTTTGTATTTCATTAAATAAATGAAAAGGTTATGTTTCACAGCTTCTGTATTTTTTCTTAGAAACTGGCTCAAATTATTGTTTCTGGCCTTAATGAATAAGTTTATTTCTATCAATGTTTGTCAGAATATCATGGACTTAATCATTTGTAGAATGACTGGAGGTCTATGAGGACTTGGGGGGGTGGGATAGTAGAGAGTTCTGCCTCCCATCAAAGGATGGTTAGAAGGAACTGTTAGACGCTGACCCCCAGTCTAAGCACTACAGCTTGGAGGGAGGTTGGAACATGTTGCACTGCCAGTCTCACACCTAAGAGCACTAGTACTAAGGAAGAGGGCAGTGTCAGGGTTGGCTACCAAGCTGTCTGCTAGGATGCACCTGAGCAAAGCAGCCCAGGAGTGTGTGTTGCAGGGATGGGCTTGGTTCAGTGTGCTCAGCGGCTCGTAGTGGATGCAACAGCTCTGTGCAAGCGATGGGACTGCTCATGCAAGGACTTGATGGTGGATGGAGGAGTGCATGCCCACACCTTAGCATGCCCTGAGATGCACAGCTGCCTCTGATTTCCTGAATTTAGTACTAAGTGCTGATGGAAAGTGTCTGTCTGTGTAATTTTGAGAATTTCTGTGTAATGTCTGGGCTAATGTGCCTCCATATCTGTGCAGCTTTATTATGAAGCTGCCAAGTATTGCAAGTTCTTTTCATCATTGTTTGAATACAGTGTCCACAAAATACTACAGAAGTTGGTCATAATATACAAAGGGGTGAAAATCAACTTTGCCCTCCACTTTGTCAGGTGAAGATATAAAAACCAGCGGCCTTAAAATACGCTGTTAACATGGATGTGCACTGTAGGGCCAAACTAAGTACTTAAATGTGTCTTGTCCTTTTAAAAGAGCCAGTGTGGTGTAGTGGTTAAGAGAGTGGGACTGGGACTCAGAGGATCTGGGTTGTAGTCCTCGCTCAGCCATGGAGCCAACTGGGTGACTTTGGACCAGTCACAGACTGTCAGCCCAACCTACTTCACAGGGTTGTTGTTGTGGGGATAAGATGGAGGAGAATGATGTAAGCTGCCTTGAGCCCTTTGTAGGAAAAAGGCAGGATATAAATTGAAAAATAAAGAAATAAAATTAAAATGTAATTATTGGGGGGGGGGCAGTCTGGATTGCAATGCTTTCCTCCCAGGAGAAATAGCAGGTTCAGAGAAGGGGGATTGCAGTGCCAATGGAAAAGTGCCTCTTCACTCCATAATATCCAGTGTCCCATCTTTTCTTCACCAAGTAAAACCAAGACACACAAAAAAGCACTGGCACACTGAACTTAGCTGGCTTGACCCTGATTCTGAATAATATTTGAGTACAATTAAACACTGTATTGAAAGTTTTAACTATAAATTGCATCTGGCCCCTTCCATATTCACTTTAAAGAAAGACTTTGGGCAGAATCCAGTGGGGATGCCTATCACCTTCTGAACTTGGAGGATGACCGACATCCCATGCAGGGTGGGAGAAGCACAGACACAAAGCTCACCTCTTCCCAACTCTGCAAAGGATCTAAATGAGCAACCTTGGCTTGTGCACTTCAGGGAGGAGCAGGAGGAGGCTGGGATGCCACAACGATACATTGCTTCTTGGTGGAACTTGTCCTTTCCTCTCAACAACCCTTGAACCCGTCTTTTGAGGTCTCCCTCAGAGAACCAGCCAGCATGGTTCGTTCTGTGCCCACTGTGGCAGTGAGGACAACCTGACTGAATCTCCAGCTCTGAGGTCAGAGCTTTTTCTAATCTCCAAGCTGGGAATCTAACCAATTGTATGGATATTCATTCATTCAGTCATTCATTTAAAATAACATCTAGGTGATCTCTAGGAGCTGCAGGATTGTTCTGAGCTCCTCTTACAGGTCAAAAACAAAAAGCGGGGGGGGGGGGGCAATGTAATAGACATGCACACATACCCCTATTCAAGGTGCCCAGGAAATATGTTATCCCACACGGCAGTTTTTAAAGTTTTCTCAAGCAGTTTTCTCAGGAATCTCACATGCTAGCAAATACTCCCTGGAATGTCTCTTCTAAAGGTAGATTTACATAAGCATATGCCCTTTCTTCACCTAGGGCTTGAGGAAATATGTATTGCTGACTGAATCATTCACCTGAAGCTTTGCTTATTGCTTTCCACTGTCTTCTGAAGTGCTGGTGTGGCTGTTCTTGTCTACTTTTTTCTCCCTCTGTCAAACAGCATTTTGCCTTGTTTATGTTACAAAATTCTGGTGACTTTTAAAAACATGGGTAGGAATGTATTACTTTATTTTTCTTCATTCATGAAGTGATTCCACTCTTAAAGGCTCCCTAGGGAAAAAATATCAAATAAAAAGAATATTTTGTTGTTGACCCATTTTGAGCATACTGTATATGCTAAGGCAGTGTCAATTTGTTTTGCTTTATTTATAAACTCACCGCATGGTAAAAAAATGGCCGGTCGTGGACCACTTTAGGAAATGCCTGTGAGCTAGCCCTGATTCTCCCTGAAAATAGGATTTGGTCACTTAGGAAGCTAAGTCTGTGTACATGTAAGCTCCTGCTGCTTAATCATTGTGGAGTCCCCCGCAGTCATATGCATGTCTATTCGGAAGTAAGCTCCACTGAATTCAATGGTAAGTAGCCACAGGTTGAAGCCTAGGCAAGCAAAATGGACAAGGCCTCTAGCATGACTACAACTGTCCTTCATTAACACAGTTCACTGCATTAGTCCTTATTAAAATCTGGCCATCTTTCCCCCTCTTTTTAAAAATCCAAAAAACTAATTTGATAGCAATGATCATAAAGCCAACTAACTTGCAAAACTTGTGCTTGCCTCATAACAGCCCACTTGGTAAAATCCCTAACCTATCAGATTGCTGTTCCCATAGATTCTAACACTGAAAGGATTCTGGTTATTCAGGACCTGTAATTGCTATGTGAAAACACAATAAAATGCAATGCCTGCTTAGTATAGACAGCCTGACTGACTATCTTCAAATATGAAGAATTTATTTGTGACTCATTGGTTTTGTCTTCAAAAAGGAAACAATGAAAAAGTGCCTGTTGGCATGTGTTTTGTTCCTGGACTGCTCCAGGCAGCTTTTATTGTTCATAGAAATGTATCCTGGGATTTACTCTTTATGATCTCAAGCAGGAGTGTGCACTATCTAGAGTTGACAGTTTAATCAGTATGCGCGAATTGTGTGAATACATGAGAGAATGTGTGCATGATACACAAGTATTTCAGCATCTTGCAGAAGCATTCAACCCACTCTTTGACTTTTGAACCTTTTGTTGTGTGACAATGGATTTTCTTGTCACTGTTGCCACTTCAAACTACTCAGCACTATGAAGCTGCAACATATGTTTATCATGCTCAAAGGTTATGAAACAAAACAAACTGGCACTGGTTGATTGCGTAAGCATTCATCCCTGTGAGTTGGTAAAAGCATTTTTGGCAACAAGTACTGGGAGTCTTCTTGGTTAAGTGCCTGTCAGCCTTGCACATCTGGAACCAGCAGCTGTTGGGCCATTTTTCCTGGAAAAAATGCCAGCTCTGGTGAACAGCTGATGAGCAGCCATTTGTAAATCTGAGACATTCAGTTGCTGGCTTTTAAACCACTCTAGTGTCACACTGGCTGTGTGCTTAAGGTAACTGTACTGTAGGAAAGTGAACTTCCTAGCCGATCATGGGTTCCTTCTAGACTGAAATGGATTTTCTTCCAGAGTTGTCCTGTATTTGGCTTCTTCCATCTTGCCCCAACAACAAGTCCTTGTCAAGAAAAAGTATCCCTACCAGGTTCTCACTACCACGCATCACTGTGGGACTGCTGTTCTCAGGGCAGCAAGCATTTCTGGCTTTCTGCCACACAGCATTTGGCTGCAGGGTCAAGAAGTCCAATTTTGGTCTCATCACACCAAAGAAAACCTTTCCACGTTTGTTGTGTCCCCCACACGCCTTTTTGGGCTTCAGTATGGGTTTCTTGCCATTCTTTCATGAAGCTCAGCTTTGTGGAATGACCAGGTGAAAGTGGTCCCACGGATGGTTTCTTCCATCTCAGCTGCCAATCTCTCTGGCTGTTGCCATTGGCCAATTGATTGCTTTATTGGCTAATGCCTTCCTTACCCTGTCTCAGAGTCTTGGTGGATAACCTCTTGGCAGAGTCATATTTTTCCATTATGTAATACTGGGTTAATGGTGCTCCAGCAGATGTTCATAGTTTGGGTAAATTTTTATAACCCAGCTCTGACTGGTGTTTCTGTACAACTTTATCCTAGAGCTGTTTTGATAGCTCTTTGGTCTTCATGATGTTGTTTGTTTAGATAACAAATTCCAACTGGGGCCTTCCAGAACAAGTGTATTTAATCTAAAATCTCAGGGCACTGGAATCGCAAACAGGTGGACTCCATGCCACTACTTATGTGGCTTTTGGAGCCACTGTGTTGCACCCAAGCTTGTTTGGACATGTCAGAGAAAGGGAGTGGATATGTCTGCAACCAACAAGGGGTACTTTGTTTTTGTGTACTGCATTTTTTGCCACAATAAAAGTATTTTGCACCTTCATAGTACGGAGTAACTTATATAAAGTGGTAATAATGCCAATTAAATCCATTTCAAGTCCCTCCATGTTATAACAGATTGTGGAAAAGTCAAAAGGGAGTGTACGCTTCTGTAAGACACTGTATACACACAAGCACAATTATTCCCTTATATAGTCATGTAGGTCATTCCCTGATTGAAAATTGCTTGTCAAACAACCAGAATTTATGCACTTGCCTCTCTTACTTCCATAAACATAGATCTTCTCCATCCTACAAGAGATACTCAACATGGCTGTTTGGGGCGGTCATTTGTCATCCCTGACAAAACTGCCTCAGGTAATGTGAATGTTGCATATGAAAGGCTCCTGTTTGATCCATTCCCCACTCCCACAGGTTAGTCAGCCTAATTATGGTTTCAGGAGGTACATGTAGTTTCAGCTGGAATATTTGCTGCATCTTACCTACCAATACTCCTCCTTCACCTTGT